GATGGTAGATACAGCATATTGCAGGCAGATGACAAAATCCACTAGATGCTTAAAGCTGCACAAAAGTTACACTCAGCCTCTTTTTCATACCTCTTTACCACAAAATGACCACCATCAACTGTTTCACTAAAAGTTGTGAGTACTATTTTTTTTTTTTTTTTGGCAATGTGTAAAGCTACCAGCGGCAGCCATGGAATATCTTACAGTAATATTATTACAGTAATATGACCGTGTGATAACCTAAATGAAGATAGGGGGGATGGGGAAAGGAGAAGCTGTAGTGAGTTTTGGACTTGGAGTCTGTAGATTAGATTATTTTAGTGGCGTCAGAAACTAAAACTGACCTCAGTTACTGCCTATGTTGACTTAACCAACAAGACCCTTAATGTGTGATCAAGTGGCAAAGCAAGGTCTTTTAGCCCAATTAGCGTCTGTCTGACCCGTGTGCTGCCGTCAATATGTTTTGCATTAGCTAAGAGGCTACATGAGCTCCCCTCCCTTTGACCCAACAGTAGTGGGCCTATGTGGTAGTGTTATGTCTCTTCAAGGTCCCCACAATGTGCTTCATGCCAGACAGGCACATCATACATGCTATCACACCAAGTCATTTAGCCTACTGCTCAGGTTAACTTGTTGTATTATCTGATCGCTACATGATTTACTATTTGCCAGGTAGATCAATCAACCGAAATGTTAGTCAGAGACTATTTTAATGACTCACCTACACTAGTGTGTGTGTGTGTGTGTGTGTGTGTGTGTGTGTGTGTGTTGTGTGTGTGTGTGTGTGTGCGTGCGTGCCTGCGTGCGTGCGTGTCCTGAGGCTTAGGTTGTGCCTGCAGAAATGTAATACGTTGGAACAAAAGTCCTGTGGACAAAACACGTCTTCGGATTCCTCACCTTTTTCCTTGTCTCATGAGGAGCCTCCTTAACCCAATGGCAAGTGAGCCTATCATTGCAATTAGCTTATCATTGCAATTGTCTCGTATCACCATGATGATGCATGAAATATAATGTGATGAATGTGGTGATTACCCTTTTTCATGTTTGTATTTATGTCTTTGTAGATGATTCTGACAAATTCTGAAACAATTTAATAATTTATTCCTATGAATGTTTGTAGACTATACCCCCAAAATTGTTATCATAATTTGCATTCGATTTCACTCTGTTACTATGCAATTAAAATGATGTCAATGTATTAAAGCTATCAGAAGTCTAACACCAAGTAATTGTGTAGTATATAATTCCATCATCAATTTCCATAATGGCCTTTGAACAATATTTTCCTCGTCTGGAAAAACAATTGGTGTTTTTTTATGTTAGGTTTCATTTTCCTTTTCTTGTTCTATGCACACATGATTATTATTCCTCGGATTGGTGGTGTTGCTAATAGGCTAACATACAATTGTCGTTTTTGCGGTAAAGTCGTTCAATAAAGCACAGACAAAAATGTACCCTCTGACATTATGTGCTAGTCTAGGTACCAGTCCTTTTAGCTAACATTCCACTCCTTGCCACAAGACAAATGACAGGAGTGGCAAGGAGTGGAATGTAATAAATAGCTGAACAGAGACCGCAACCAGGCTAATTATGTGCCAAAGGTCATTGTCAATTCACATTAATTGGAAAGATGTCGTTTTCCAGAGTTCAATAATTATTTATTTATTTTTAAATATCCTAACAATGAAATAACGAAATAGGCAAACAATCTTAATTAAAATATCAAACGCTGTAGACTCATGCGTCAAGATAAGACTAATTATAAAGAAAGTATAGTTTTGGTTACAATCACTAACCTACTGTTGTGAATATAGTTTGGACTAATGTTTTAAGCCACCATATACTAATTGCGAAATAAAAAAAGAAACATTTGGTTATTAGATTACTTAAGACTATTTGTCTAATAAATTACACCATTCCCTTATTGGCAACTATATAAAAATGTATATATATCCTATTGAGACATTCTGGAATCGAAAAAGTATCAGTAACAACGTTACAATTAACGAAATGTAAGCTACACATTAGTTATAGGTTACGGAATGTCCTTCAAAGTGGTAACTACATAAATCAAGAGACCGGTTAGTCCACAGAAATCAAACTAGGCGAAATTATATAAATTGCATTTAACTTATTTTCTTTATGGTTGGTTGTTGGAGGTAAGAGAATAATGATTGTTTGTGAAGACTTGTAAAAGTTAAAGTTGAGGCTTTTTGATGACTGTATAAAATGCCCATAGGGTCGCGCTGTTTTCACGTCATATGAATGGCACTCGCAAATGCTGCCACTAGTTCTGGGCCCTCTGTCTCTCTTGGATATTCATTCTACTAACACAAGTGTCACCATAGCCAATAAAAAGCATCGTCAACTAGGTTGGTTGGTGGCCGACTTACTTGTGGCGATGGACTGTCAAAATTCAGTCTGCGAGTTGCAAGTATCCAACTCATGTGAGAAACAAAGCTCCATTTTGTAATTCTTTAAACATTGTATTGCATACAATTTCGACGGCCTGGTGCAGGTTGTCTAAAAACATGTCGCACGTACGGTAGGCTTATAAACACTAAACTTCTTGACTGTATCTCATTGCTGCATGTTGGTATTTTGATTGATATGGTAGCTTGTGTGGTTTATTGATATGCAATTTCGTTGACTACTAAACGTTTTATGCCCCTGACAAAAACTGTAATATTTCATAACAACGTGAACAACATTATAATTAAATGTAATTTAAACTTAGAAATCAAAGGAAAATAAGGTATGTCATGCACTCACAGAAAAAAAACGCAAGCACTCACAGAAAATATAGGTCTGTAGGCCTAGCTGCAGAAAACCTTTGGCCGCGGCCAATTTACAACAGTCATTTAACATGCCACCAACACAGTGGGAATGTTCGTTTGTACAGACATTATGTACGCCGATGCCTAACACGTTATATATAGACTATCTAGGTATCAGTTGTAAGCCTATAAAACTGTTGGCAACGAGAACGCTGTTTTTATAGTCGATGAACAAAATATTTTAACACATGGCGTTTATGTAGGCCCTGGGTCTGTCTTGTGAAAATGTTAGACTATTTTATCAGGCTATACAGCATAGAATAGGCTTATACCCTATACATGTGAATTAAGTATATCATAAGTGTGTGTGTGTGTGTGTGTGTGTGTGTGTGTGGTGTGTGTGTGTGTGTGTGTGTGTGTGTGGTGAGAATCAATGAGATACATTCTTGATTACACTAATTTACTAATTACTCGTGCATCTTTTTTCCTCAACAAGATTGGAAAAACATCAGACTCAGCTTAGTTAATAGGATGTGAGTGAAACCAACCCTACATTTACAACACTCATCTGACTGCTATAATATAATAATAATATAATATGCCATTTAGCAGACGCTTTTATCCAAAGCGACTTACAGCTATAGTCTTGATATAGGATTTGATTTGAATTATGTTAGACATTTTATCTTAATTATTGAATGAGTTTTAGGCATATGTATGGCACGTTGAGGAGGACATTATAACGCCGTTAAGCACAAGGCAAACGCTATACATCTATTCTGTTTAAATACCAGTTCAGACTATTCGGGTTGAGCGTTTGACTGTAGGCTACATGATGGGTCAGAATTATCTCTTGAAAGTCCACAATTGAGAGGAGATAGATTGCACCCCGATATTGTAATGATCGGCCAATGTAAATTGTTGCCATTCCAGATATTTTTGGATCACCTGGATCACAAAGCCTATTCCCCCTCAGGAGACTAAAAAGATTTGGCATGGGTCCTCAGATCCTCAAAAAAGTATACAGCTGCACCATCGAGAGCATCCTGACTGGTTGCATCACCGCCTGGTATGGCAACTGCTTGGCCTCCGACCGCAAGGCACTACAGAGGGTAGTGCGTACAGCCCAGTACATCACTGGGGCAAAGCTTCCTGCCATCCAGGACCTCTATACCAGGCGGTGTCAGAGGAAGGCCCTCAAAATTTTCAAAGACTCCAGCCACCCTAGTCATAGACTGTTCTCTCTGCTACCGCACGGCAAGCGGTACCGGAGTGCCAAGTCTAGGTCCAAAAGACTTCTCAACAGCTTCTACCCCCAAGCCATAAGACTCCTGAACAGCTAATCATGGCTACCCGGACTATTTGCACTGCCCCCCCACCCCATCCTTTTTACGCTGCTGCTACTCTGTTAAGTATTTATGCATAGTCACTTTAACTCTACCCACATGTACATATTACCTCAACTACCTCAACTAGCCGGTGCCCCTGCACATTGACTCTGCAACGGTACCCCCCTGTATATATAGCCTGTCACTTTATTTTACTTCTGCTCTTTTTTTTCTCAACACTTTTTTTTGTTGTTGTTGTTTTATTTTTACTTTTTTTGTTTAAAATAAATGCACTGTTGGTTAAGGGCTGTAAGTAAGCATTTCACTGTAATGTCTGCACCTGTTGTATTCGGCGCATGTGACCAATAAAATTTGATTTGATTTGAAAAGTGAGGAGCTCAATTTTGATTAGCATGAAGGCCGTCCATGTGCAATGTTACAAAGGCCAATGGCTGATGATGAATGGATATACAGTATAATAGCCTCTGATACCTCCTCCTTTATATCGTAATAGCAGCTGGTACCTCCTCTCTCGCTCCCTGTCAATCGAAGTGTCCGTTTACTCCCTCTCTCCTATCATCTGCAGCATAACCAACGGTCCGATATTTGGTTACCTCGCTGCTTCCACTATTCCTTTAGCCCATCTATGGCTCCGGTAGTAAAGACAAAGTAAAGACGTTCTAACTTCATATCCTCTGGAAAGCAAGGAATAAAGGAATAAACGCGGAATCTTGATTTGTGCTGCCTGTCGTCCATCCCCTCGAGCGCATTATAGGCTGTTTTGGTGGTTGGCTGTTCAATCTAGGAGCTCCGACTGTGAGGTCTCTCTCTCTCTCTCTCTCTCTCTCTCTCTCTCTCTCTCTCTCTCTCTCTCTCTCTCTCTCTCTCTCTCTCTCTCTCTCTCTCTCCACCCCCTTCACACACAAACAAACTCGCAAGCAAGCACACGGAGCGTATTTCCTGTATCTGCCCTCTCTATCGTCCTCTCGCTTGCGCTCTGTCAAGCTGCTTTGCTATCAAACTCAAGTAAAGCGCCGTGAAGAACCGTCGAGCTCCGAGTGACGGATAACCGACTTCTGCTCCCCGAAACATCCCCAAGTCCAGCCCTGGATTCAATACTTATCATCAATGGACAGAGCTTTCTTCCCAACCAGGCGAGGTACAGACACCGCGTAAACAGTGAGTAAAACTTCTTCACCCAATTATTTTTTATTGTGAGCTTCACCATTTCAGTCAGCTTTAGCCTACTTTACCAACATTACAAAAACTAATAATAATAATAATAATATTAGGTGTCAATTTATAACAATGATAATAACAACAATGGTTTAAGGCCTAATTATAATAGTAATACTAATATTTTAAAGGATAAAAAGGATATTAATAAATGATCGTTAATATTAGGCCCAATACAATGTCAACAATGTTCTGGTCGTACGTCTAGCCTGAATAATTGACTGTTAAAAAGAATAGGCTAAATGGGTGAAGAATACAAATTATAAGCAAGGTGTCAATGTTTTGGCGATAATTTAGCGTAAATAATCTATCATTAGGCTACCATATAATAACTATTATTAGCTATGATAATACTATTTTATTTGGATTACATTATCTCATATTTAGATTTTTCATGTAGCCTAACACTTTTTGGTTTCAGATAAAAATAAATGTAGACTATACATTCCACACTAAAAATAAAGTTTATCAACAGCTTTACTACTGACAATTATTATAATTATAATAAATATTATACTTTTATAATTGTACTTGAGGACTGTGCACGTTCTGATTAAATCATTACGCAAAACAAAAACGAACTAATTGTGTAGACTGCAAAATACATTTAGCACGGGTTAGTATCAGGTATAGGCTATATTCATTTGCAATTTTCCATGCTAATTAATTTAGGACAATTTATCACATTGCGTACCTAGATATCCAACATGCATTATTTTAGTGAACTTTGTTTCGTTTTGGAGTTTGAAAATGGAGTGCTACTGACTTATTACTCTACTTTTAGACTTTTAATTGAACTTTTAATTTATAAAAGTAAAAGACATAGTGTCCCGAGTCAAACCATTGGCTATAGGTCCAGCCTATAGAGCTACTTTTTGATTGAGACGTTGACACATCAATACTTTTACATGTGTATACTCTCAACTGCATTGAAATGTTTTACCAGAACATGTTACCGGTCAAATTCATGAATTTTAGCGCTTTTGAATATTCATAAGTTTAAGATAAACAAATGAGCAACCAGAGCGAGCTGTTGTCTTTCACCATAAGGTGAATACATAATCACCCTATCACCCTAACCTGCATAAATGTCTACAATGTTAATAAAAACGTCAGCTAAAATGTAACATTTATAAACTGGCCTAGTGAGTGGACAGGGCAAATTTTTTGCTCAAACGTTTTTACAGCCAGAGAAATAGCAGCGTTGCTCTCAGCGTGACAAAACCTATTGTCCCCAAAAATGTCAACAACAGTAATTTAGTGGTCCCATCAAAATGCCGGTTTCATTTGGATAAACTTGTTTTCACTGCAGTATGCCAAGTGGAGAGAAAAAAGTTGTTCCTCCAGCTTTCTTCTCCATTTCTCTCCCCCAAAATAAAAACTTCAGGGCTTGACTATTTAAAAAAATAATAATGAAATTCCCCCTTACCCTTTTCCTATTTTAACATTATTTGATTCTGTGTAATACAGTACTATGGCCTGAAATGTAACCTGTTCACAAAAAGACATGCAAAATCTAGGCCTCTTACCATGGGTGTGTCTCCCTCATTAAACATACAGTTAAACGGTTAAATCAAATCCAATCCTATTTTTATTCATCACATGCTTCATAAACAACAGGTGTAGACTACCAGTGAAACGCTTACTTAACGCCCTTCCCAACAATGCAGAGGAAAACAAATAAACAAATAATAGAAAAGTAAAACAGTAATAATAAAAGTAATAATGCATTCACAATGAGTAATGATAACTTGGCTACAGTGCATTCGGAAAGTATTCAGACCCCTTGACTTTTTCCACATTTTGTTACGTTACAGCCTTATTTTAAAATGGATTAAATTGGTTTTTCCCCTCATCAATCTTCACACAATACCCCATAATGACAAAGCAAAAACAGGTTAAATGTTTTGTGTGCAAATGTATAAAATAAAGAAAACGTAAATATCACATTTACATAAGTATTCAGACACTTTACTCAGTACTTTGTTGAAGCATCTTTGGCAGCGATTACAGCCTTGGGCCTTCTTGGGTATGACGCTACAAGCTTGGCACACCTGTATTTGGCGAGTTTCTCCCATTCTTCTCTGCAGATCCTCTCAAGCTCTGTCAGGTTGGATGGGGAGCGTCACTGCACAGCTATTTTCAGGTCTCTCCAGAGATGTTAGATCGGGTTAAAGTCCGGGCTCTGGCTGGGCCACTCAAGGACATTCAGAGACTTGTCCCAAAGCCACTCCTGCGTTGTTTTGGCTGTGTGCTTAGGGTCGATGTCCTGTTGGAAGGTGAATCGTCGCCCCAGTCTGAGGTCCTGAGCACTCTGGAGCAGGTTTTCATCAAGGATCTCTCAGTATTTTGCTCTGTTCATCTTTCCCTTGATCCTGACTAGTCTCCCAGTCCCTGCTGCTGAAAAACATCCCCACAGCATGATGCTGCCACCACCATGCTTCACCGTAGGGATGGTACCAGGTTTCCTCCAGACGTGACGCTTGGCATTCAGGCCAAATAGTTTAATCTTGGTTTCATCAGACCAGAGAATCTTGTTTCTCATGGTCTGACAGTCCTTTAGGTGCCTTTTGGCAAACTCCAAGCGGTCTGTCATGTGCCTTTTATTGAGGAGTGGCTTCCGTCTGGCCACTTTACCATAAAGGCCTGATTGGTGGAGTGCTGCAGAGATGGTTGTCCTTCTGGAAGGTTCTCCCAGCTCCACAGAGGAACTCTGGAGCTCTGTTAGAGTGACCATCGGGTTCTTGGTCACCTCCCTGACCAAGGCCCTTCTCCCCCGATTGCTCAGTTTGCTGTTTTTGCTTTGTCATTACGGGGTATTGCGTGTAGATTGATGAGGAAAATGTTTTATTTAATATATTTTAGAATAAGGCTGTGACGTAACAAAATTTGGAAAAAGGGAAGGGGTCTGAATACTTTCCGTTTGCACTGTATATACAAGGGGTATCAGTACCAAGTCGATGTGCAGGTTTGATTAAATTCCACCAATTGACTCCATGTTTGAGTTAATGTTTGAGTTGAAACAAGTTATCAAACTAGCATTGAGAGGTATTCAGAAGATAAAATAATTGAATGGTACTTCAATAAAATATGGTAAATGCATGACTTATGCAGTACTGGGTGTTCACAGTGAATGGTATGACTGTGTGTTACTATGTTGTTGAGTACATTTTGCAGTAGTATGCTCTAGTGTGTGTGGTCTCTGTGTGTCTGTACAGTCTCCCAGCATTGTATGCTTGAAGTGGTTTCTGTGTGTGTGTGTGTGCGTGCTTGTGTGTGTGTATGTTTATATTGAGAATGCATGAGGCCAGGGTCAGAGTTCAAGTCATTATTCCATATGTGTAAAATGTGCTACATATGCTACACGCTTAGAAGTAATGGTGCCTGGAAGAACCTTTTGGGTTGCCACACCGGCAGAACCTTTCCGGTTGAAAAAGGTTCCTTGAGGAACCCCTCTGAAAAGGGTCTTCAAGGAACCCCTGTGTAAAGGTTCAAACCGGAACCTTTTTGTGATGGGAGGGGTTCAATTTTGAACCTTTTTAATAATATATTGTAGAGGTGGCAGCCTATCAGATTAGAGGCGTTACTTTCGGATAGTTATTTTTGGTGACTTGTTAGCATACATGTCATTCCTGTTCATCATGTTGAGTTTGTACACTGCAAATTAAAATGTTCCTTGAATATTTATGCATATTACATATTCTAATATAATATTAACATTGCTGATTACATAAAATTGGTAAAAAAGTGGTATCTATTCCAACTTTGGGATTTGCATAGCCTCTTTTAGGCTCATTGAAGTTACAAAACTGTCAATGTTCAAACTTAACGTGTGATGGCAATACAACAGAACTGATGAACAAGAATGACATTTACTCTAATGGGTGGCCCAAAAAATATATATATATCTTAAAGCCACGCCCCTACTAAACCACACCTCCACTATAGGGTTCCTCCGGGAAGCCGTTGCTACATTGACCCATTAAAGGTTCCTCCAAGAACCCCTCAACTGACCGAAGGTGCAAATATGAAGCATTGACTAGCAATGGTTCCTTGAGAAACTCCAGGGGTTCCTTGAGGATCTCCAGTGTTCCTCGAGTCACTAATTCTAAGAGCGTACAGCATAATCTTGATGATGATGATGATGATGATTATTATTATTATTATTATTATTATTATTATTATTATTATTATTATTATTATTATTATCTATAATAACAACAATAAGAGGAAGGAACAACACCTAACAGACACTTATAGAAATATAAACATATATAATATTTCAGTGGTTTTAAATCTTAGTCTTTAAAACCCCTTTTCTATATGTTCATTTTCATCATCAGACCATAAATATCACGTAGTGGTGCGTTGTTCACTTCTAGTCAGTTATATCAGTCATATATTTCAACAGTCTCAATGACCGAGTAGCTGTAAACATCCTAAGAGATCAACTGTCAACTCCGTCACACATTCCGTCAAGCCTAATGTGTTGTGAAAGTTCCATCATCCTCCGAGCTCTTGTAATAATTCAGACATAATACTTTCAATGTGGGGTTTGTCTACAGCATCTAAGAGTACAGGACTATTTTGTTTGGTTACTCAATGTGTTGATAAAATATGTTATAGTGACAGTAACATGAACTACCTAAAACACGTAAAGACAAATACAAGATACAAATCCCTCTGTAAGACAAAATATAGACAAAACTCAGTTATTATTAAACCTTAACAGACAAACAATAAGCCCCTAGGTGCATCACAAATGGTACCCTATTCCCTATAGTGCACTAGGTTTGACCAGAGCCTCTATAGGGAATAGGGTGCCATTTGTGACACAGCCCTTGTTCTGATGTAGTCATGTGGATCAAAGCTGGAGGGCAGGGCTGTGTGATGTCATCAGATGTTATCAGGAGGAGATCTACTGTACTGATAGACATCCATCCATTCCATCAGTCTGATAGCTGGCCACTGGACAAACTCACAGGATAGGACTGGTGTGATGAGAGATTAAGTGAAGAACTGCGAACACTAAAATGTGGGAGAGAGAGAGAGAGAGAGAGAGTGAGAGAGGAGGGAAGAGAGAAGAGAGAGAGAGAGAGTGAGAGTGAGAGAGAGGAAGAGCGAGAGAAGAGAGAGAGAGAGGGAGAGAGCGAAAGAGAGGATAAGAAAGAGAGAGAGAAAGAAGAGAGAGTCGAGAGAGATAGAGAGTGATTAGGAAGAGATAGCGTGGAGAGAGAGGAGTGGAGTGTTTTCTCATCTCTTTTTCTCTTCTCAACTCTAGACCTATGATGGCAGGGTCTCCCAGGGTTAGAGACTCCCAACACATATCCTTCCCCTTCATACATGTCTGGTAATAATTTCTCCCTATTAATGACTCTGGGTGCAGAGAGGATGGGGGGCGGAGGGGAGGTGTTTAATCCTGCGTCTGCCTTTCCCAAATCCCATGCAGAAGTGTTTATCAGAAGCAGATCTACAATGAGGGGGGGGAGGGGGAGGGGGGGTGTGAGAGAGAAAAATAGTGTGTTTAGTCAAGAGCTGTTAAGATTTATAAGCTTTTAATTACACAATGGTCTCCAATCAGGCCTAGCTCTCCCATAGTAGGCTAGCTCTCATGGATCTGGTCCCATAGCATGGTGTGTGGTTCTGGACCAGAGAAGGAGAGACCAGGGATCTGGTCCCATAGCATGGTGTGTGGTTCTGGACCAAGAGAGGGAGAGACAAGGGATCTTGAGTCCATAGCATGGGTGTGGTTCTGGACCAGAAAGGGAAAAGACCAGGATCTGGTCCCATAGCATGGTGTGTGGTTCTGGACCAGAAAGGGAGAGACCAGGGATCTGGTCCCATAGCATGGTGTGTGGTTCTGGACCAGAGAGGGAAAGACCAGGGATCTGGTCCCATAGCATGGTGATTGGTTCTGGACCAAGAGGGTAGAGACCAGGGATCTGGTCCCATAGCATGGTGTGTGGTGGCTGGACCAGAGAGGTAGAGACCAGGGATCTGGTCCCATAGCATGGTGTGTGGTGGCTGGACCAGAGAGGTAGAGACCAGGGATCTGGTCCCATAGCATGGATGTGTGGTGGCTGGACCAGAGAGGTAGAGACCAGGGATCTGGTCCCATAGCATGGTGTGTGGTTCTGGACCAGAGAGGGAGAGACCAGGGATCTGGTCCCATAGCATGGTGTGTGGTTGGCTGGACCAGAGAGGTAGAGACCAGGGATCTGGTCCCATATCATGATGTGTGGTGGCTGGACCAGAGAGGTAGAGACCAGGGGTGGGGAAATAAATTATCTGAGCCAGCACAGTACAGTTCAGGTTAACATGAAAATTGTATTAGACTGCTGCCTCAGATCACCCAGGTCCCTATGATCTGACGTGGCTGTATCCCTTCACTGTCCAGCCCAGGATGCCTCAGCTATGCAGTCCTATGGGAAAGAAAGAAAGTGACTGGTCTTTGCAGTAAAACAGAGGGAGAGGCGGCTCGGGTTCTTCCGTATTACAATATTCTGAGTTTGTGTTGGAAGGATCTTTTTAAAGGCTGTTATTAATTTGGCATGTGTGTTTTATTGTCACCATGTGCTGCTTTCAGGCCAGAATAGGTTAATTATCATGCCAGGGGAAACCACAGATTGTGAAACAAACACATCAGACTGCATGACAGACAGCAGACTGCCCCTTTACGTCTAGAGGGTGGTGACAGACTGGGGTTCGAACCCGTGTCTCCTGCACACCACGGGACTGTGTTAGCCCGCTGAGCTGAAGCCAGATAGGCAGCAGACTGCTCCTACTTCTATAATAGTGGTGTGACAGACAGGGGTTTGAACCCGGTTGTCCTGCCGGCCACAAGACTGTGTTAGCCTGGTGAGCTAAAGTCAGACAGCCAACGCAAGTCTTCAGGTCTCAGATACGGTTGCTCAAGGTTCCAAACCACCTCCGTCTGTTAGAGGCACCAGTTACTTTAGCTCAGAAGTTCTTATGTTGGAGTGAAGATGGTTGCTCATGTGAGCTTCTATGGATTAATGTTTTGAATTGGGAACCTTTATGTCTTGAAAGTAGTGCGTCAAGTTATAGCCTGTTGTTATGAGTAACCTTGCTTAAAAAGCCAACTATCACCCCCTAGATTAGTGGCATAGCCTTTTGGTCAAACAGTAGACCTACATATACTGTGTAATCTCTTATGACAGACAGGGCGTTGGGCCAGTAACTGAAAGGTTGCTGGTTCAAATCCCAGAGCCAACAATGTGGGGGAAAACATCTGTCAATTTGCCCTTGAGCAAGGCACTTAACCCTAATTGCTCCTGTAAGTCGCTCTGGGTACGAATGTCTGTAAAATGTAGAAAATTCATAGGCCTACCTAGCACGAGATGTGGTCATGTGTTCCCAGATTGTATGCATGGCTGATTTTAGAGTGCTGTGTAGATGACTATAGAGTCTGATAGCAGTCACCTGTATTATTTACAGGAAAGAGCCTGGTGGGTTTCTGTTTGTTTGTTGTGGTCCTCTTTTTCTGCTCTTGTCATCTGTAATGTCTTCAGTCTGGGAGGGATTGATGGGTCACAGGGAAACAATGGCCGCAACCCTCACGCCTCCTCGCCTCCAACACAACATGAGCTGATGAAGCTGTCATCTCAGTGTGAGAGTCTGACGCAAATGAAGAGTTTCATTTCAAAACGCTATTTATCCATTTTCAGACATGTTGAGAAATGAGCTTTTATTGTTTAAAGAAATGACGAAAGAGGTGTGTCTTTTCACTATTTAACCATGGCATGGGGTTGTTCAATGACAGACATGTATTTGTTTAAAATCTATCACTTGATGGTTTCATTTCAGAGAGACAAATAATGTTGCTAAACGCTATATATCAAATCAAATCAAATTATATTTGTCACATCCACGTGTTTAGCAGATGTTATAGCGGGTGTAGCGAAATGCTTGTGCTTCTAGCTCCGACAGTGCAGTAATATCTAACAAGTAATATCTAACAATTTCACAACACATACCTAATACACACAAACTAGTAAGGAATGGAATTTAAGAAAATATACATATATGGACAAGCAATGACAGAGCGGCATGGACTAAGATACAGTAGAATATTATAGAATACAGTATATACATATGAGATGAGTAATGCAAGACATGTAAACATTATTAAAGTGACTAGTGTTCCATTTCTTAAAGTGGCCAGTGATTTCAATAGGCAGCAGCAGCCTCTAATGTGCTATTCGCCTCACTCTCAGAGAAGTTATTAGTACTGCTAGATTTTACAGTGAAATGTACACTTTTCTTTTACATTGGTGACATCAATATAATTAAAAAAAATAATAATTAAACACAGTCATATGAGATCTGTATGTAAAACATTTACATTTGACATTTTAGTCATTCAGCAGATGCTCTTATCCAGAGTTACTTACAGTTTGTGCATTCATCATAATGATAGCTAGGTGAGACACCCACATACTGCATCACAGTCAAATGAATAAGATACGAACATTCCATTCCAGCTAAACAACAGATATATAGCACAATGGAACCAATGGAATCATCCCAAAAGCGCAAACCAATTGACTCAATGCCTCTGGCTCTTTTCAAACGCTCAACGTATCTGAAAGAAAACAAATACTATTTAAACCCTGATCTGATTTGAAGAGGAGGCTCCACAATGTCAACACCAGTAAGATGTAGACAGTTGCCTGTAGACACTGATGTGAGGTTAATCTGGTGTTTCTCCTCCTAGATAAACTAAGTTTAGGGGAGGGTTCACTGATCCTAGTTCAGTGCTTATGTTCAAGGGCAACTTCATCCTAAAGAACAAATGCCATACATAGGGGGTTTAGCTCGCGGAAGTATGAGAGTGTCCGAGATACGTATTTTGAGAGGAGAGAGAAGCGAGAGACGAGAGCGATAGGGAGAAAGAGCACGAATGCGAGCGAAGAGAGAGAGAGCTAGAGACGGTGGGGGAGGTTCTATCTCGCGATATCGATAGTAGTGATGATCGTCCGGACTCGATAACGTCCTCGGAGTGTTTAAGGAGGGCAGCCAGAGGAAACGACATATACATTCATACCTCATATGTTGCAGGACGTCTCCTCTCATATTCGTTCCGAGCAGTCGTACAGTCTGTTGGGAGCCCCTCCTGGAGGTTGGTGGGGGATGGAGCGTGGTGGTACGGAGAGCCCCTGTCTGCGGGACAGTCCCGAGCAGAGAGGGGACAGCCCGGACACCTGTGGACCCCCGCCGGGCAAGATGGCCGCTGAGAGTCAACGGGAGGACCCTCACGGAGTACACCAGCGCACTCAACGGCACCCGCACGGGCACTCGGAGGTAGGGGAACACACAGAGGAACACACACACATACACTCACACACATACTGTATGCACAGTGAACCATCACACACACACAAATACTGTTATACCCAAACACTAGTTAAGACATTTTTAGGAGAATGAATAGAAGAGAAGAGGGGAGGATTCCTCCTTACAGCCATGGCTTTCAGAATGGCTTTCTGTAGTGTTAATGAGGGAGCTGTCTTTGAACTGGGGGAAATCAGCCCCTCTGTTTAAAACCACAGCATGGCGGTGTGGAATGGGCCACATGCTATCCTAACACTGTAGTCCAAAGAGCAGTTTATGTATAGTGTATATACACTTGTAGGGACACACACACACACTTCCACAAATGCATGCGCACACATACACACGTGTGCTACTCCACACACAAACACACACAAACGTGTGTGCTGTGCAAACACACACACACACACACACACACAACACACACACAAAACACACATGCAACTCCTTAGCTGAGTTATTGGGATATAGCGTGCCTGATGAGACTTGGTTTGCTGGAGTTAATTTGTCGTTGTGCTGTCAGTAGCTTGATTGATTCCTCCAAATTACTACTCCTAGAGGATTAGCTGAGTACGATGGGGTGTTTCATGGCTTGGAAAAGTCAAAGTTTCATGACTAAAGCAAATTATCTAATTATTCACTGGTCTCTTTTTTTACCTCCAAAAGACGTCAGAATGATGTCCTTAATTTGTTATGAGTGGTTCAGAAATTACTTTACGCAATAGATTGATATGTGCTGTGTGTGAGAGCCTGGCGGTTTTTAAGGCGTTGGGACAGAACCGAAGGTTCGCTGGTTTAAATCCCTGGGGTCAAACTAGGTGAAAATCTGCCGATGTGCCTTGAGCAGGCTTAACCCTAAGCTTGGATAAGTGGGTCTCCCAAATGATTAAAAGTTATTGAGCATGTTGTAGATTCACAGTCTTTCTAAGAAGGGAGAAAGGTTGTTATTGCAGAGGGGGTCTCGCTCGCTTGACCCCCCCCTCAAGACCGAAACTCGTGGAAACCACAAAATCCTCTTCCCCTCTAACTCACCCCAACACCGGCCCCTGTCTCTCAACTCACGGAGATGACACCCGGCAAACCGGACGGGGCAGCGTAATCGACCAGCCGAATCGAAAGATCGAGCTCGCCTTTGCTATAAGGCTCAGAATTCGTCTTCCCCTATATATCTCTCATCTAGCTCTCTCTCTACTCTCTCGAGCATAGATCGCTCATCCTCCGATCTCTCTAGCTCTCCTCTCTCTCCGTCTCCTCGCTCTCATCTCTCATCTCTCCAGGTCTGATGATCCCTGTGTATTGTGTAGTGGAGCAGGCCAGATGGGTGGCGTGTCCTGGGGGTGTGGTCTTGACGGGGATGGGCGTGGTGACAGACATGCTGAGTTTGTATTGGTTCGTAAGGACTCCTCTTCACCCAGCTGGGTGGAGACAGCCCTCGTGGCCACTGGGCTACTCCCACAACTCTGCCGTGCAGGCGAGAGGTGAGTCAGATAGGACAGTAGTGTGTTTGTGCAAGTGTGTGTGTGTATGTATGTATGTATGTATTGTCGTGTATTGAGATTATGACGTTGTTAATGTTTTAAGTGGAACCAGAGAGGACGTTAATTTTAGTATCAAGAGGGAATGTTTTAGTGTAACGCCACATACAACAGACAGGAAGTGTGTTGTAGACAGGGGAGACTGGTGATTGGCCAGAAGAGGGAGCCCATCTTT